TAGATATCAACATTCTCAGTGAGTAATGTACTCACGCCTCGAATTTCCACTGACTCCTGCGACAGTGATGTATGCCATGTGCAATTTGCACGACGTTACATGGTATATCAACTCGTTTCGTAGCTCGAATTTCACATTAATAGCTTCTCTAGGGGTACCAAAGGTGATAACGGCGCCGTGAAAGACCTCGGCGGTGCCAAGAAGCTCAAGGACGCCAGCGGCAAGGAGGTCATGGAGGTGGAGCTACCGACCGAACGCGAGGACGTTGACCAGGTCTGGAATGCCTCGCGTCAGGCCCTCTCGCAGAGGCCTCCCGAAGAGAAAGAGCATCGCGACGCCGCCACCAAGCAGGCTGACCGCGACCGGAATAGCAGAACCAACGTCGTCCTCGCATGGGTCGGAACTAACATGTGCGTCTGCGACAAAATGCAAGCGTTCTTTACCTGTTGACTCGTCGACTTGCATTCAGGTTCATGATTCTCGTGTTTACTTCCACCGCATTCATCAACTGGGTCAACAGGCACGTTGCGACCACCGACAACGCAACTTTCAATCCGTACCTCTCATTCCTGCTCTTTGCTATGTATGTACTTCTTCCGCCAGCGTTGTACTGACTGACTGAGCAGTGATACACAGGGCTGGTCTGTCCGCCGTGCGCTTCGTTGGCTCGACTATCTATCTGCTGCTTCGCCTAATAGGCTTCTAGCATCTCCGGCACCTGACCACTTCTATATTATCATGATCGTTTTCCACTTTTGGTTCAGAGCCGGCTCTTTAGCATTCGTCGCTGCTGGAAAGCACGTGTAATTCTTACAGGACTGCATTTTGTGCAATTTACTTCTGCCTCGTAAAGATGGCCAGCATACAACTATGCACGTTTGCGCGAAACTCCCACGCCACACCCAGCGGGGAGCAACATAGATTTTGTCCCAGCATCCTCCCCAGCTGACAATGGCTATTGGGTCTCCTGCGTCGTCTCAAGATGAAGCATCGTCAACCTCGATGCCGAATAGTCTCAGTTGTACGTTCGCTGCGTTACAGTACAAAAAACCCGTCCCACATCTCCAGTACGTACACTCTCGATGACATAACTCATCCAACAACTGGCTCTCAAGCTTTGCGAGCCATTAAATCTGCCATGTCTCTCAAATTTAAATTTGAGGCGAAAGCAATTAGAGTTTCGCCGGGCTCTTCCAGATTGGCTTCTTTTTCTACGGCAGAGTGAGCACCTTGTGGACCGAAAAACAAGGGGTCGTACCTCTGAGAAAGCCCTGAGTCCCGCCTGACATGCGTGTTAGTGTGCCCGAGCAATATGCGAATTAGTAGCGTTCCTACCTTGAGATTCTCGCTCCCGTAAACACGAAGCATTTCCTTAGACCGAGTGTGCGCAACTACAACGTCTTCGACGTCTCCAATTTGGTTGGATAGCATCAAAGCACGCTTGGTGGATTGAACAGAGTCTGGAGAGTTCCCTACGATCTCCTGCGCCCATTCAACGGCTGTCTTTAGGACATCCGCCTTAGGCACCACCTTGTTCACGCTATGGGCGATCAGATTAATGTTTGCTTAAATAGCTACGACAACGTACAATCCAAACCGCGTGGCCGCTTCCTGCGCAGTGACCTGTCGGCCGAGCAGAAGCATCTCGGAGGCAAGCTGGTGCCCGGCTACCCGAGCAAGCCTAGGGATCACTGTGAGAGCGGAGGGTCAAGGGACAGCATGGGTCGAGCCTGATATGAGGACGTACCTCCCATGATCGCGACCACGCCGACCTTGACCTCGGGCGTGGCGAACACGGCGTCCTCGCTGGCGATGACAATGTCGCAATTGAGCACCATCTCCGTTCCTCCGCCGTACGAGCCGCCGTTCACGGCTGCAATTATCGGCTTGCACCACGACTGCCTGCGCGAGATGGAGCCGAAGCCGTTCCTGGCGAGTTCGGCATCTTTGCACTCGCTCTCAGGGGTCTTCTCAGAGTTGGCACGCTTGTTCCACCTGTGAACGCTACGCTCAGAGGGTCCCAAGGGTTAACAAGATTCGTGCTCACGCGATGAGGTCTGCACCCGCGCAGAAGGTGCGGCCTTCACCAGTAATGATAGAAACCCTGCAGGATCTCATTAGTGCGGCGCGAAGCGTAGAGCATGCGGTACACATACCAGATGCTAGGTTCCTCCTCTACCCAACTCAAGATCCTGTCAATGTCTGCATCCATAGTGGGCGTCATGGCATTCAGAGACTTCGGCCTGTTCAGCGTGAGCAGGAGGACATGCTCTGCCGGAAACGAGACCTTGATTTCTCCCGAGTACTGGGGACCCGGACTATTGTCATCTTGG